TTTAACATCCACAGTGTGGGAGGGGTATTTAACATCCAAAGTGTGGGAGGGGCTATTTAACATCCAAAGTGTGGGAGGGGCTCTTTAACATCCACAGTGTGGGAGGGGTATTTAACATCCAAAGTGTGGGAGGGGCTCTTTAACATCCACAGTGTGGGAGGGGTATTTAACATCCAAAGTTTGGGGGGGCTATTTAACATCCAAAGTGTGGGAGGGGCTGTTAAACATCCACAGTGTGGGAGGGGCTGTTAAACATCCACAGTGTGGGAGGGGCTATTTAACATCCAAAGTGTGGGAGGGGCTATTTAACATCCAAAGTGTGGGAGGGACTCTTAAACATCCACAGGGTGGGCGGGGCTCTTTAACATCCAAAGTGTGGGAGGGGCTCTTTAACATCCACAGGGTGGGCGGGGCTCTTAAACATCCACAGGGTGCGAGGAGCTCTTTACCATCCACAGGGTGGGAGGAGCTCTTTACCATCCACAGGGTGGGAGGAGATCTTTACCATCCACAGGGTGGGAGGGCCTCTTTAACATTTAGATCAGATTCTGTAATAAAGCGAGTCCTTTCAACTGTACGAAGGAGGAAAGAACAGTAATTTAGTTATTGTGAAACTTCAGATCTTTCCTTCTTCAGTCACTCTCTGTATTTGGTGGTACTCTGTTAATGCTCACCTACTGCATGCTCACCAAAACTGAAAGAGACTTGCCAGCCACAGTTGTTTGTGTTTGCTCGTGGAGCTTCGACTTCCTTTAGCGAAACTTTTGAAATATTTATTCTCGTTCAATCAGAACTCATTGACTAGACTCTCAGATGCCACAGCCACAAATGAAGTGTGGCTCTGCTCTTGTGTCATGAGAGGTAGCCCACTCATTTTTGAATAAACTGTCTGTCACTCCTCCAGCTCGGCCATGTCTCAACTTCCAAGTTGCAGCCAAATAGTGTTAAATGGCCTCTTAGTTTATACTTTTTTCTGTCTGTCATGGTTACGTGGTCAAACAAATATGAATCTCTGTCTCTCTTCTACAGCATGTCTTTATCCTGTCTTCCTTCTCTCACCCCAACCAATCACAGCAGATGGCCCCGCCCCTCCCTGAGCCTGGTTCTGCTGGAGGTTTCTTCCTGTTAAAAGGGAGTTTTTCCTTCACACTGTCGCCAAAGTGTTTGCTCATAGGGGGTCATATGATTGTTGGGTTTTTCTCCGTATGTATTGCTGTAGGGTAAAAGGTAAAAATGATCCACAAACAGTGATGTAGTAGCTGTTAGACACAAAATAACACAGGTGCTTAGCAACCTTGCTTTTATATAGGACTATGAGCCAGTTGGCAGCCAGTTGAATCAAGTGTCCTGCTGCAAACAGACATGTGACAGATCGGTGAGGATTGATTGCAACATGTTGCCAATCTCTCTGCATTTACAAATTCTACAGCAATTATTTGCAAACCTTCATCAATCTGAGTGATTGCAATCGAGTTGGACTGCACATGTTTGGATATCCAGGTTGGCATCTGGCTGTAGTTGCCAAAGGGTAAGGCAGACAGAATAGAGAAGTGAGTGTTCTCGAAGATCACACCATTGCTCTGCAGTCATAAACACCAGTGCAGCAGTGCTTTGTGCTAAACGCTAACATATCCTAATTTAGCAAGTCTGCAGGCTAACATTTGTTAATTAGCACTAAATAAAAGCTACAGCTGAGCCTGATGGAAACGTCAGTCTTTGTAACAGCTACCTGGGTATAAACAGATCACAGCTGCTAATTATTGTTATTAATCATAAAAATGATCACAAATGTATCCAAATCATTTTTCAGTTACTCAGTAGGAGCCACATACACGCAGCACCACCCACTTGTTGAATATTAAACATCTGCATGCTTTATAGGTGCAAGAGAACTGAAGGTATCGTTTGTGTTCCTGATGCTGTAACAGTTTCAGGTTGGTTTTCTCTCCGCTCACTGAAACACTGAGTTCAGGCTCGAGGCTGCGACTCTCTGCCCTGCTATTCTCAGGAGGTTCATGCTTATTGAAGGCAGCCTCAGAGAGCAAGAGGAGACCTACCTCCACTGCTGATGCACATGATGTAATCTGTCTTTGTGTTTATATTCTGTGTGCATAGATAAGGTATTTGGGGTCTTTGAGGACAGAGGCCTTCGTACTGTAACTTTGAATAGCCAAAATTTCACTTTTTCCTATATGAGAGTTGTTTTCAGCAAAAAAGAGGCCACAAACTATATCACAACAACAAACAGAGCCTTGAAACAGTTTGCGTGTGGTAAAGCTCCCTGAAGTGTGATAAAAGATAGAAAGAGGTTACAAACAGGGCTGCTTAGCATACCTTTATTGGGCAATAAAGAGAGAGTCAGATGAGGATGGGGAGAAATGGGCAGCGGGAGATAAAGAGGGAGGGCAGCGGAGGCTGAAATGAAGAGCTTGAAATGGATGAAAGTGAGCGAAACGGTGAGGGAGAAAAGCAGTGTGGGTGTTCTAGGTGCAGTTCAGCTCTGTGAAGTCAGCCAGGGAGCTCCGAGAGAAGCCCAGAGTCTGCTGCTCAGAAACAGCCTTCCACGCTCGCAGTGAGCTCATTAAAGTTTCTCCAATTCTTCATATTAATTACACTCTGTGGGCCTGCTGACTCTGTTCTGATAGTCCCGCTGACATATCGTTTGAACATTTGCACTGTAGTTCAAAAACATGAGGAAAGAAAATCAATGCCGAGCCACTTTCTCAATCAGTGCTGCTCACGCTCGTCTGATACGTGGAGGTTAAATTCATGCTGCGATGTCTCTGAGGCTTAGAACTTACTTACTCATGATAAATGTACAGATAGTTTAGTTTGTCATGTTCATTTGTGGAGAGGTGTAATAACAGTAAAAGGCTAATGTCCCATGAGTGTTTCCCACCAGGGATGAAGGTGATAAAGACAGTAAAGGCTCCTCTTTTTATTCCATAATCTGTGACATTTACGTGACATTTGCTTTATGTTCTGAACTTGACATATCATTCAGTCGCTGCTAATAGCGTCTATCCACCCCACCTCTCTTCTTCTCTTGCCTTCTCCTTTCGTCCTCCTTCTACTTTACCTTCCTTTCGCTCTTTATTTTGCATCTTTTTATCGTCTACGTTCATTCACCTCTTTATTTTCCTCGTGTCTCCCTGCTTCTCCTCCCCAGGTGCTGAAAGGTTTCCCTGAGTGTCTCCAGGCTGATATCTGCCTCCACCTTAACCGGACGTTGCTGCAGAACTGCAAGGCTTTTAAAGGCTCCACGAAGGGCTGCCTCAGAGCGCTGGCCATGAAGTTCAAGACTACCCACGCGCCCCCGGGTGATACGCTGGTCCACGCTGGCGACGTCCTGACCGCCCTCTACTTCATATCCAGAGGATCCATAGAGATACTGAGGGGAGACGTGGTGGTCGCCATCTTGGGTAAATGAATGAGGATATTCATGCTTCACTGACACTTGTAGAGAGAGGCAGCGTGACAACAGCGATAGCACAATGTTTATTATCACCAGGAACTACCCAGATCCGGATACTACGGATCCATGTTTTCATGTTGTTCATGCCAAAGGGCGTTGCAGCAGAAATCAAGACTCATCAGACCAGGCTTCATTTTTCCAACCTTCAAATGTCCAATTTTGGGGAGCATGTAAAGAGTAAAGTGTGTCTTCAGTTTGCTCTTCTTAGTCGACCGGAGCGACACCTGTGTGGTCTTCTGCTGCTGTAGCCCTTCTGCCCTCTTCTGCTTCATGTTGTGCTTTCAGAGATGCTCCTCTGACTCATCCAGACGACATCCAATCGCTGGAAATGTTCTCTTTGTTAGCCCATTCTCTGTAAACCCTGGAATAGTGTGGGGAGAAATACCGGCCCACCAACAACCATGTTGTCACCAATGTTCCCTCTAAGCTGGCACGGTCTCTGCGCACAGAAAATCTGTGTTGCACACAAAAGAAATCTAACCTGAATTGAAATTAAAATTAATATTTAACAATCCTGTTTTGCAGTGTTAGTCAGTGACTGGCTGCTCCTGTATGGGATCAGAACGATGCCACCTTATCCCATAGTCCAGCCAATGATGTGATTCACATTCGTATATACGCAGCTAATTAACGTGGTTGACAGGCTCTGACAGCGTCCTTATGTGCCGACACCGGTGTTTTAGCAAAGCGGCTGATGTGGAGTGAAGCCACGTTAATGACAACGTGTACAACCATTGGAGATGTGAGCAGGACAGACGGAACAACTGACGGGAAA